TTTATTAAGAAACTTGACGATTTCAATGCGAGCAAAAAACATTTTTATCTCCAGCACATGAGACTTGTGTATCGGAAGTTCTAAAGATATGCTCAATTTAAAATTATTTTGTGATATTGCTGTTGAACTGAATTTTATGGTTTAACCCTTTCGTGGGCCATGGGAAGATTACTTCCCACCTACATGTTCCTGGGAAATACACCTGTGGGAAGCGCAAAACCCACTGTAATATATTGGCTTTGCTATTATAACGTTGGGAACTCTAATTCCCACTTTAGTATTGTACTGCCATCTGTGTTCAATCGATTGAAAACAGAATTACCACATTTATTTTGAAAGTTTGAACGCGTTGTGTGAGATCTGTTCCACTGAGACACCTGTTTTGATTTGACATTTGCATTGCTATACGATTCTTCTACAAATGTAAGTAAAACATTGTTTTTATTATAGTGACGTTTTATTATTTTTTATATTTCTGCAGTAACTATCTAATATTGAATAATAAATAATGGGTAAAAAGTGAAAATGCTATTGCATCATGTATAAAAGCCACGTGCAATAGGTATGTTGGAAAAATTAGAATATTTTTGAAAATATCATTCAATTCTACTGAGAAAAAAAAGGATTATTTTGGCATGATTTTTACCGAGGAAATTTTACAGAATATTGTTGACGAAGCAAACTCATATGCAAAGCAGCCTAAGAAATGGAAGAGATTGGGTCATACCACAAAAGACACTATCCTGAACTGGAAAGAAATCACAGCAGAAGAATTGAATGCATGGGTAGGTATGCATATACTCATACATCAATTGCCTGAAATGAAAAACTGCTGTAGCACAGACCCTATTCTCAATGTTCAATCAGTAGCAAGAATAATAATCGCAAAGAGGTTCAAAAAAATAACTGAGACTTTACATGTAAACGATAACAGCAATTTGGGTATGATAAACTCCATAAATCCATGTGGGCAATTTGGGTATGATAAACTCCATAAAGTCAGGCATCCTCTCACAGCTCAATGATTCCATACCTAAAGTCTACAAACCTTCGTCAACATTATGAATAGATGAATGTATGATAGCTTTCAAAGGGAGAACTTCATTGAAGCAGTATATGCCAATGAAGCCTATAAAAAGAGGTTACAAGATGTGGTGTTTAGCAGACTCTAAGACTGGATATATTCAAAAATTTGAAATTTATTGTGGAAAAGAAACTTCTGATAATAAGGATAAAATATTGAGCTTAGGGGAAACAGTAATAACTAAACTAACGGAAGATGTGAAACAGACAGGTCATCTTATAGCCTATGATAACTATTTGACATCTTTTAGGCTTGCAAAAAGTCTACTTATAAGTGGTCTGTTTTCTGTGGGGACTGTGAGGCCGCAAAGGAAGGCTAATAACAAACTACAAAGAGGGGACTCAGTGTTCCTAGCTAAGGAAGGTGTTGCTGCAATAAAGAAGATGGACAAAAAGGCTGTTACATTGTTGACTACTGCACATAATTCAGCGATTATTACATTTGTAAATCGTACAAAAAAGGATGGTACTAAAACAGAAGTACCTTTCCCTAAAGCTGTTGCCGTATATAACGATATCATGGTAGAGGTTGTTTGCTTCGATCAAAGAAAAGAAAGGTACCAAATAGGAAGAAGATCTGTAGAATGGTGGCATCGTATTTTTTATTTTCTTATTGACCTTTGCATCATAAATGGTTATATACTGTGGCAAGGAAACAAGAGAAACAGAAGTTTAGACCAGCTAACATTCCGTATAGCATTAGCTCGTCAACTAATAGACGGATATTCCTCGAAAAACGAAAGGCCATTCTGCTAGCTTCTAAGCAAAAAGGTGTGCAGTTCCGGATGATGTACGCTTAGTCAGTGTGGGAAATTATATGCCAAAGATGGTTTCCAACTATAGACGATGTAAGAAATGTAGCACAAAGGCACCAAAAAAAGAGGACCTGCTATATGTATGCAGTATCTGAAGTACACTTGTGCATTGCAACATGTTTCTCATCTTTTCACGGCAAATAATCGCCTTTAAATTGAATTTTCTCTATGACCATAAAAGGTCCCGTGGGAAGTATACTTCCCACCCCTAGAATTTAAATGTAAACAAAAAATTTGGCAAAATAAAATATATTTCCTTAAATGCTATTGTTTAATTGATAATAAAACATAAAAAAACGGGAGAAATTCAAAAGAGAAATAAATGGCTCACGAAAGGGTTAAATGCAAAGAACATGATATTTAATAAATAAAAGTAACCCACAAAAACATTTAAAAAAATGCCATTTTGGGTGTAATATAAAATCTGAAAGCTTTCAGTTTTTTTTTTTTTTTTAATTATTTTTTTTTATTCTGAATTAACCTTTTTTTATTTTTATTTTATTTTATTTATTTATATATTATTTTAAGGATTGGTGTTATTTTATAAAGTGTTAAAAAGAAAAGTTCCAGTTCAAGACTTCTTTGACAACTTGTAATCGAGTTTCTGTAGTTTTTAGAAATACAAAGTACGCAAAACATTTGCAGGGTTGTTAACAAATGCATCTGCTGTGTAGTGGTTCCCTGATAAAAGCCAATGGAAAAAGTAACTGTAGTAATTGCCCATGCAACAAATATTCACCTCTACGAAAGCACTCATGGGAAAAAGTTCACTGCAATAAAAGCCACAATGATTTAAACCTACACTGATAAAAGCCGATGTATCATTTTTATCAATATAAAATGCATAATTGCAATTATAATACAAATTTATCATTATAATACAAATTTATCATAATTATGATAAGTGGAGTATTTTGAGTTTGATTTTTGATGTTTAACTTTGTGTAAGACTAACTATATGTATATTTCAGTATTAAAAAACAAGGGAAATGTTATTTAACCCTTTCGCCGTCCACCCCGACCGCAAAAATCCCCCCCCCAGCGGCCGTCTGATTTTCGTAGCGTGTAATGTTGTTTTCTTTGTACATCATAACTTACCATACATAACTTTCGTAGTGGATGAATGTCAATGAATATTAAGGAAAATTATAAGGAAATAAAGCATAATGGAAAAACAATAATATCTCTGCTTATTTCTAACAGCAGGATAATTTGATAACATCTGATCCAGGTGGTCCACTCCTCCCATTTTGTTGTTGTAATCTTTTACAATTATTGATTTTTTTACAGTTCTTTTCCGTGTTCCAACATCCATCATCAAGTTATTATGGACTCTACTCATCAAATGTATATCCTTCTTGTAGTAGACGTTGAAGCCATCTCGCACTGTCTTGTATCTTATGTAAAATGGCGCAAATATTCATAAAACCTGGGGCAAATTCAATTTGGAATAGAATGCCTGATTAGTGCTGCCCTCTAGAAGGTATTAGAGCAAACAAAAATAAAAACTCAAATAAGTTAACATTTAGAAAGCGTTTTAAATGTTTAAAAGTTTTAAAATGTAGAAGAACGCTTGATGCACGTTCGGCCGCCCTGTGGAAGTTTCACTTGAACGCGCTAGACACGTTATGGACGATGAAGAGGTTAATTAAAAGAGCAGAATTATTTTTATTGTTATAACAGAATATTTTGTAAGCCTCTTTTGATTTTTGACCTAAAATGTAATGCGGTATCTCTGAGAAATTAAGTACGCTCACTAAAAAAAGCATTCACTTTTTAATTGGGTTGTTCTTAGAATAATTGGTTTATTGTGCAAAATACTTTTTTGTTCCGTCTTTGTAAAATGTAAACCATTCAAGAGTTGAGAGGTATTGACAAAAAAAAAAAAAAAAACTGGCAAGGGTGGATAAATATCCCATTTTGCTCCAACACTTGAATATTATTGGGTGAAGCAAATTTATGTCTCAGTTAATTCATCAATAAACAAAACTTATGGAAAAATTATTGCATTATGTGTGAAAAATAAGAGCACGGGCAGACATTTTGTATCTGAAGTGATGTGGGGGAAAATAGTTTATTGCTCCTCCCGTTTTTGAAGATGGTCCTAAGCAAACAGTAGCTGGGAATACCAGCTTCTATAATGAGATATAAAATTTCCCCATGGCTCAATTTCAAGCTTGTCAGTTAAACGCAGTTTGGTTCTATTAAGATGGTACAATAACCCACATTACTTGCACATGTATGGCTGTATTCCATGGCAATGTTTCCCAGTAGTCTGTTTTTCTGCTTCAGTGATTGACTTGTCCATCTTACTTCCCAGGTTTAATAATAAAAGGTTATTTCATTATGGGAATACTTGAAAAAAGTCTTTCTTACATTGCAAATAATCAAAAAGATGAATATTTTACCCATTATGCAATCCCATTACCACAAGATATATGATAGCGTGTCACGGACAACTTGCCTTGTCATCTGCAAGAATATATTTGTTTAGGTAGAGGGCATTTCCTGATTTTTTTTTAAATTCATTTTGTGATTTTGCATTGAATTACTTTTCAAACTGTTGCCACCAAATGTTAGAGTCCTGCATTATATTTGAAGAAATTAAATAATGAAAAATCTTCATAAATGTATGTATATTTCTCGCATTGTGATAAAACAATGCTACATAGAGCCATCAAATTTCGAATGACGTAATCCTCCTACGAATATGGGCATGTGGAAGACCAAATTTGGAATTTATTATCGATTTCATATTTTTTAAAACTAATGAATTTTTGAGTAACAAACTCAGTGATTTCAAAGTGAGCAATGGCAACACTCTACGAGGGGAAAAAACCTTTTTATCTCCAGTGCACGGAACTGTGTATCGGAAATTCTAAAAATATGCTCATTTTAAAATTATTTTGCGACATTGCTATTGAATTTTATGGTTTAAGTGCGAAGAACATATTTAATAAATAAAGGTAACACACAAACGTTAAAAAAAAAAAAGCCTCTTTGGATGTAATTTAAAATTTGAAACCTTTCAGTTTTTTTTTTTTTTTTTTTTTTTTTTTTTAAATTTATGTTTTATTTTATTTTATTTATTATTTTTTGTAGGATTAAACAGTCTCCTGTTGCAGATGCTGTTGATGGAAATGTAAGTTCATGTTCTTTTGTATTCTTGGTTCAAATATTTAAATTGTAGGAAATTAAGCTCTTGAATTTATACAATACAGAGTTCAAAATCTGGACGTCCAGTATCGTGGAATGATCTAATATTCAGACCACCAGCTAAATAAGTAAAATAAAATAATATAAAGTCTAGAAATGGAGACTATAACGAGAAAGGAGGCACATGTGTCGTAAATGCGATTTTTTTTTTTTTTTCTTCCGAAATTAAGATTCCTGGTTACTTTTAAACACCTGCTGGCTAGGGTTTCACCGTGGCCAGTAGCAGTAAGTTGATTTATGTTGACCAGGATTATACTTAAGGCCCTTGAGTGATTATGAGTGAGGAGGGCTGGCCTGGCACTGCACATTTTGTCACACTGTCAATCCCTTTGGGACTTAAAATTCTGCTATCTAGTACCTCAACAAATTTTTAAAAAATTGCTCCCTCTAAATTCTACTGTCCACTGCTTCTCCTAAATTTGGAAAGCTCAGCAATCTCTAAATTTTAATGCTTGGTGCTCCTTTAAATTCTAGAATTGTTGCCATGCCTAAATTCTCACACATTGTTGCAGCTGCACCAGTTGCACCTTCTCTGGCCCAATGGAGACGGGGATGGCATTTTTCTATCTGACTTAAACAATAAGTGGAGTCTGAATGTTACCATGTCTACAAGAAGTCATCTAACGTGATTTAAATTAATGATTTAAAATTCAAAAATTTCCAGAGTCTCTGAAGTTGCGACGATTCCAGAACTCGAACTTTGTATTATATTAAGGTATTTTGAATACCCAATACACCTCAGTATCTCAATTAACCTTTTTAATGGCAGTATACAAAAGAATTTAAATTGCGGTAAGATTTTGCATGAATTGTAACTTATGGACTTTAAGAACACACAGTTGAGTCTTAAAAAAAGTCTAGAGTGAATACTGAATTTTGAGGGCCAGTATATATTTTATACCACTTTCCCAATGCATTTTTTTCCAAGCAGCTGCAATTGTTAACTTTTTTTTTAAATCTATTTTTGTGTACTTTTGAGGTTTGTATATACAGATGGGTTCTTGAATGTAGTTATATAAGTCTAAAGTCAAAAAATTCTAAAATTTCTCTAGAAATTTAAAATTTTAAAAATAAAATTTATGTTTTTAGGCACTTTGATGATGCCACCCAGTTAAACATACTTATATAAAATATGTTTAAAAAACTTTTTAAAGTGATTTAAATTCAGTATTATTATTTTCCCAAAAAATTTAGCAAATATAACACTGCATTAATAAACCTTATCATGCTCTAACTTAGTTGTACTCAACCTTTTTTGGTGCTGGGGCACACAAGGCAGTTTCAGAAAGCAAAGCGGCACCACATAACATTTCTATCCCGAGTCATATTCAGGTCATCCCTTGGCGATATTATCATGTTACTCTAGGCTGTAACAAAAAAATGTGCCCTCATTGAGAAGATCGAAAAAATGGATTGAGATAAAAACAAAATATACATTTCATGCACAAAGTTTTTATTGTTTACAATGTAGTTGTGTCTTTTGTTTTGGTGTTGCATTTAATGCAATTTTTGACACTGAATTTCGTCCACTAACATATGTACATTAGGTGGATACGCTGAGGTTCCCGCACACAAGCAATCTTCAAGATGCGAATCGGTGAATCTACTCCGGTTCTTCGACTTGATAATGTTCAGGATTGAAAATAGATATTCGCAGAGGTAGGCTGACTCCAAAACAAGATTTGATTTTATATGCAACACTTCTTGATAATGGAAACCTGTTCTTTTCCACAAGATTACAGAAGTCTACATCTGTGGCATGTGCTTGCAGGATAATATCATTCTTCAGTTCGACTATTTCCAGCTCAAGGTTTTCCATTTCTACAGCAATAATTCTTGCAGTTGCTGTGGCAGTTTCAGTGGCTTCGTGGTGAATGGGTTGACAAAAAAGTTCACCACTGGCTCCAGCAACTGTTATCTTGAAATCTCTTTTCAAATTGGTCCAGAAGCATCATAAGATGGCCGAAAAATTGCAGTGACCCAAAATTGTTGGCATTCGCTGTTTTTATCATGTTTGGAAAATGAACCAAGCACTTTGATCTCATCTGAGACATCCATAATGTCAGTTTGGTTTTGAAAGCTTTCATGAATCCCATCATTTGAGCCAGCTCTTTGTCTTATACCTTAAAGATCCAGATTTAAAATGTTGAGTTTTTCAGTGATATCAGCGAGGAAAGCCAGATCAAGTAGCCACAAAGAGTCACTTAGTTTTTCAATGTGTTTACTAAATTTGTCCGGGCTAGATTGCACAAACTCTTTTATTTGCTCGATTAGAAATAGAAACCTTGATAGAATTTTACCTCTGCTGAGCCTTCGGACTTCTGCATGCAAGATGAGGTTGACTGTTTTATCTTCGGAGTCTTTTAGCAGTGCTTTAAAAAGTTGGTGTTGCAGAGGAGCCGCACGAATAGAAGTGATAATCGACGTGGCAACATTCATGATGTGTTCAAATGGAAGTATCTTTTGTGCACAATGCTTCTTGATGAATGATGGAGTAATAAGACATGAAGTTTGGAAAACACTCATCTCTCTTGCAAAAAGCGACAAAGCCGTTGGTTCTTCCTGCCATGGCAGGTGCTCCGTCTGTGGTAATTGGCGATAGCTTTTTAAGCGGCAAGCCGATTTCTGCCACAAACATTTTAAAAACGTTGTAAATGTCCTCTCCCCGCATTCTCATCTTCAACTGCAGAATTTTTAATAATTCTTCTTTAACAGAAAAGTTGTTAAATACCATTCTTGTCATAACAGCTAACTGCAACATGTCAGAAATATCCGTGGACTCATCAAATTGGAGAGAAAACCATTCACGTGTTTCTAAGTCTCTCTTCAGTTGAGATTATGTGTCATCAGCAATTGCTTCTATTCTGCTTAAAACAGTGCTGTCTGATAATTGAAGATCCTGAATCGCATTGATGATTTTACGCTTGTTAGAGAATCCGTCAAAGAGGCATTCCGCACCTGCAAGAAGTGCTTCCTTCAGCACTCTTGAAATGTGTTTTCTTCTTCACCAGCAAGTTAGCAGTTTTAAATGAAGCCATTGTTGCATTTTTGGACTTTGAAATTAGCCTAACAAATACTGATTGCTGCATTGAAAGCTTCAATTTCAGCTCACAGACTTTCTTCTTTCTAATTTCCGAACCCTCTGGGTAGTTCATTTCAAATGTTCCATGATTTGTCAGAAAGTGACGTTCCATGTTATGATTCTTGGCCAGTGCTACAGAAACACCACACAGCAAACACATGCACTTCCCTTTCACATCAACAAAGCAGTACGTTCCTTCCCAGCTGGAATTGTAATTATATATCTTCTGCCTTTTGCTGAGCTCTCTTGTCATGCTGCAGTGGTAAAAAAAAAAAAGAACAAATTGCTAAGTCCCGATGCAGAATGAGAAGAGCCGAACAACGCCACTAACACTGTCACTGCGAAAAGCTCAGAGGAGACTGGTGAAGAACACGGGTCAAAGGTTGCCCTTTGCACCTTGTTAAATACTTAATATAACTGTGTCATACATTTGAGTCAAGAGTCGACTCTGAACTGCAGTTCCCTCCGTTTTTGACACTCTTTATCGCCCTTTTTGGTGTGGTGAACCTTGTAATATCGTGCCCCCAATCTTAAAACTTTATCGTCCTATTAACTCGTGTTAAGAAATATTCTTTGATATGGCCAAGAGATGGTGTTAGAAGACCATCTATTGGCTTACTCAACCCTTCCCCTTCTGAACATGTGACTTGAAATTTTATTCTTCTTAAATGTAGAATTTGATGCACTAATCAATATAATTCAATTTGGATTCTTTGGAACTATTCAGTTCTTGCTTCTTGAGCCTTAATATTCGATTCAGGCATTTTAGCATACATTGTATATATGTAAATATTAAGTTTAATTAAAATTTATCTAAAACCTTCCAGGCCATGCATCTCATTTTGGATTATGAGTTATTCAAATTTGATCTAGAATTTCGTTACAAATGGTGCATCAGCACGAAAAAGAATCTGATTAATTTGAAATTTTGTGTTGGATTAGCTTTGTAAGCGAAGACTGCTCACGGTAAGTCTCGTTTGATAATTTATTAAAATGGAACAGAAGACACTAAATAAGAATCGAGCACATATACATCAGGGTTCGTAGTGGTCCTTATAAGTGCTTACAAGTCCTTATATTTGAAAATAAAATATAAAGGCCCTTATAGGTGCTTACTTTTTCTTTAAAGCCCTTATATTTTTGTTTTTAGTGCTTATTTTTTGCTTTTAGTGCTTTTTTTAAATGAACGTGCGTACCAAAGCCGAAACTAAATAAACAACTTTTCTTCCTAACATGGAATGTCAGATGGTGAATCATACTCCCAGAAATAGCTTTTCCCCTCTCTCTGCATTAACTGTTTGAGTCCGGCGAAGCGCTCACTTGTTGTATGCCAAAAATATGGCGCAGCGCGACAGCGCTTCTCTTGATTTGTATCGAGAATGCAAAGATGCTGCTGTTGGTTAGTATGTCGTTCTGTCGGTCAAAGAATTGCGAAAGCAGTAGAAAATTCCGGTACATTCGGCATTTTTTTCCTTCCACCCAAATACTACACACGTTTGAATTTCTATCAAGATCTTAATAATTTACATTCTTCGTTCAGCTTGGCCAGTTCATATTCGTGTTTATTATGATCGTTATGCTTATATTATACATATGAATGTTTATAATAAAATAGTTGCAGTAACTGCTGAAGTATAGATAAACTTCCAAAAATGGGCGTGTTTTACACAGATTAGCTTTCTAAGGAATAATATTCGGAATGGCTTAAATAAAAGGAAAGTAACTGAATAGTCAAAATAAATATTCTTCTTCTTATTATTATTATTTTCCAATACAGTAATACTGGATTGAATAGGACTAAAAGTTTTTGCGATCTACCCAGCCTAAGCGAAGATTGATTCTAT